AAACAGATGATACTGATGAGGCAGTGTTTATGGGACTGAATATGAAGATGACCAAAATGGAAAGCTTAGCCATTTTGCTTTAATAATGAAGAAATAAAGTGAGAACCATGGTGTAATTCATGCATTCATTCCAGCTAAGGCAAAGAGCCCTCAAGGGAGGTGGGGTTGAGTGATAGGAAGTGAACACAGACTGGGTTTGGAAGGAGGGGAAAGAACCTCTTTTATCAGCACTACATACTGCCTCTCCCATCTAGTACAGGAATCTGAAAACCACCCAAGTCAGTACATTCATAGTCACCCTCCTGTCACTGCCTCAAAAAACACACCACCAGTTAAAAGGGATAATGTCTCTATGGCAGGGCCAAAAGAAATTCCACAAGAAAAACCACCACCTGTATGCAACTGTGCCTGACTGGACAGGATTTTTTATAAGACTGACTGGCTTGGTTAATTCTTTAAAAGTCCTCAATATTATTTGTCTGCAGTGTAGGCTACTTGTGGATCTTTAAGATTTCAACTGTTTTCAAACCTGTGTCAGTTTTACTGCTTAGCTTTCCAGGGAAGAAAGAAAAGGCAATATAGCTGAATGAATGATTTTAATGGCCAAGAAACAGCACAGTGTAATGAAAAATGACTGGAAATGGTGGGGTTCTGATCCTACTTTGCTTCTTAGCTATCAGTTAGTGGCTTAGTCACTTAACCTTTTGGGCCTATTTCCTCATCTTTAAAATGAATTAATATAGTGTCTGTGCTATATACTTCAGAAGCAGCTAGGTGGTTCAGTGAATAAAATGATGGGTCTGGGGTCAGGAACACTTGAGTTCAAATCCAGCCTTGAGTTACCCTGGGCAAGTCACACCTCTGTTTGGCTTAATCCACTGGAGAAGGAAATGACAAACCAATCCTGAATCTTTGCCAAGAAAACTCCATGTACAGCACTGGTGTGATATGTTCATGGAAGAGTGGGACACTACTGAACAACAGTGTGTGTGTGTGTGTGTGTGTGTGTGTGTGTGTGTATATATATCACAGGCTGCTATGAGTATCAAATGAAATGGTAGATAAAGCAACTATTGTTCTTACTAATACAAAGGACTCCCAAGATTTTACCAAATGTGAAACTGTAGGCCAGAAAAGGCTTATAACCACAAAAACAAACAAAAAAGCCCTAACACTTTGAGTAAATAAATGACTTTTAGCAGGGACTGTCTGAAAGTGTTCTGCAAAGATCTAAAGGTACAATATCAACTACCTAACTTGAGTTTCTAGATTGCTGGCACAGATGCTTTCTCTGTAAACTTAGACATGGAGATAGATAGTGGATCTCCAGGAGGATATTGGCCACACTGAGAGCCTATGCCTCTCTAAGTACAAATGGAAGAGAAGACACACATGACTACAGTCAGGCTGACCCCCCAGAATAGGGAAGTTAAACATGACTCAAGAGCCCTTTTCAAAGTAAAGAAGACATATGTGCTCCAACTTCTCTTTGACATGGGAAAGGAGGGATTGGGGGAAGGGAAGCAGCAATCTACCAGGCTCAACCACTTTGAAACCTAGGCCCCGACCCACTAAGTTTATCATCTCCTAAGTTTCCCTGCAAAGAAGGCCAGAACCTGTGCTCTTCACCATCTCTGGGCGGCTGAGGGGTTGAGATGGTTCTGAACTTGGAGTTATCATGTCTATAAAGCATATGCTTTAAGAGACAACCCAACACCCCATTATGAATCCCTGGAACCAGTCTCTCAGCACTGTCCTTCCCTCGACAGCTCAAATGCCTACAGCCAAGATAACCAGAGCTGCAGTTAACTCTAATCAAGCCCGGCTGTCTGCAGAGAAAAAAACAAAAAAACCCAAAAAAACAAAAAACTAGAGCACCGGCCAAACCTAATGGGATAATGGCAACAAAGGCACCAGGCTGATGTTTTTTCCCCCAGGGGCTTCAGCAGACCGGACGACCCCCCCACTCAGGACAAACACATCCTGATAATGCCAAGGGAGCTAACAGTGACCTTGGCACGTCACTTAACCGCCTGGACCTCGGTTTCCTCATCTGTAAATGAAGGGATTGACCTAGATGCCCTCCAGCTGTACATCTACGGAGCCCCGCTCCTTCTCCCGTCCAGGTTGGTACCAAGCAGCCCGGGGCAGGGCGGACTGTCAGACCCCTGCCGGGCACCTGCAGGCCAGACACCCAGACGGGCACACAGGGTCCTCCCCGGGGTGAGGAGCGGGGAGGGCGACGCTCGCCTCTGTGGATCTCCCCAGGTTCAGAGGACGGAGACAGCGTGGGGTCCGAGTGACCCCCGGTTGACCCCCCCCAGGTGAGGGAGCCTAGGCCGGGGCCCACCCCCAGCCCCCTTTATGCCGTCCACGCGCGCCCGCCAGCGGCGCTCCTCCACCCGCGGCTCTGCCCGAGGCTTACGCAAGGGGCGCAGCCAAGCGCGTCCAGGGCCCATTCCTCAAGCCGCTTGCGCCCGGGCGGAGCGAGCAGGGCCCGCGGGGAGGGGCAGCTCCCATCTTCCGCCGCCGGCGCAGCCTGCTCAACACTCACCGGCCGACGAAGTTCTCGAGCACCGAGCTCTTGCCGGCACTCTGGCCGCCCACCACGGCGATCTGCGGCAGGTCCAGATGGCAGCTCTGCCCGATGGAGCTGAAAGCGTCCTGCAGCTTGTTGACCAGCGGGATCAGCTCCTCCATCCCCCGGTTCCCCATGGTGGCGGCGGCGGCGACTCCCCCCTCGCGGCCCGCGAGACCTCCCCAGCCCCCCAACGACCCTGCCCCGCGCGCCGGCGCTTGCTCCCCCGGGACTCAGCCCAACTCCTGACTCCAAACTTCGTCTCACAGTCGCCGCCTCATCCGGTTCTCAGGCGACACCCGACCCAAGCGACCTCCCGCCCCACACGCAACGGAGGCGGCCCTCCTAGCCGATGCTTCCCTCCCAAACCCTTCAGGCTACTGCCTACTGGCCGCCAGCTCTGTCACTCTCTGTCAAAAGCCAATGGAGTAGAGGTACGGGCTTACTGATGATGCTTATGGGCGAAAATGTCCTAACCCCCTTTTCGTTCCTCGAGAATTCATTGGATAAAGGAACTGTCACTATTCTCCACACCCAATAGGTTGAAGAACCTGGTTGTCAAAGCCAGGGGCGGTGTTTCGGGAAATCGCATGCTAGTTCCGCCCATTTTAAGACATCTTCGCATTCTCATTGATGAGACTACCTGCCCGTCGGATTAGCAAACCAGTTATGTTAGTGGACTCCACCCACCAAATCAAATGTGATTGGCAAATAAGCGTTAATACGTCACAGTAGCCCGATTCCTTACGTTATTCCATTGGCTAAAAAAGCTGTCACTCTATCAGTTAACTAGAGCAAGAAATGGGGAGGTGCTTCCCGGCTAAATATTGGCTGTGATTGAGAAATGCATCTGTCGATCAACTTAGCTTTTTCTCTTATTTGTTAACGCTTAGGCTTCCCCGAAACAACGATCATTTCTTAATTTAGAAGAGTTCTCTGAGAAAATGAGCGTCCCCTGCTGGCGAGAATCAAGATTTCCTGCCAAGGCTGCTTAATTAGTATTTAAGATCCAGAAATCTTCAAATTAGAACGGATAAAGATAAAGCTATATAGTTCAACTCATACCTGAACAAGGATCCCTGATTTTTGAGAGGTGGTCATTTTCCCCCATCCCCCGCTGCACTGCTTTGGACAACATGACCCCAGCAACCTCATCGTCCTGCAAGACCAATTTAGCCTTGGTACTCACCCTTCTGCACCTGGGACCTCTCTGAATGGGTGGAGAGCTCCTCCCAAAACCTCTATAGAGGGTTCCCGGGCCAGTCATCTCTTAATTTCCAACCCAGCTGCTCTCCTTTAGATTTCTTCATCATTCCCCAGGTGACACAGTCTGTAACCTTTCCTTTCACAACTCCCCCCACCCTTTTCATCTTCCTTTTTTGTGTAGTCGTCCCCCTCCCCCCTTAGATTATAAGCACCTCGAAGGCTGGTCTTTCTCGTATTTGTATCCCCAGCAGTTTGCATGCATATAGTAGGCACTTAATAAATATTTATCAACTGACTGAATATCCAGGCTTTGGCTACTAACAGCAACAGTGAAAAGGAACCCATCAAGTCCCAGGACAATCTATCGTTCGCTTTCAATTAAATATTTGTAATCAGGTTGTGCATGCTTAATGCCACATACTAGAAACATATCTATGGATGCCTTTTACCTAAGGATCCCCTAATTTATGGCTTCTAACAATCATATTGTTCACACTCCTTCCTCCTTTTCTTCTCTCTCCACATAGGGTATTACACTCTTACCTGCTGGTGCTCTGCCCAAAAGGAATGTAAATCTTAATCTATGAAACTTTTTTGTTGTTGTTTTGGCTTTTTCTCTTAAAGGCCAGCCTTAACCCAAACCAATCTGGTCACAGACCAAGCCCTACTTGGTCACTGTTTGAGCCCTGATTGGCTCAGCATAAAGATAAATAACAATTGTTTCTGTTTTGGCCAGAAACCCTCAGGATCTTCCCCTCCGAGGTCTATTTTTTTTTCTTAAAGAGGCCATTCTTTGCCTCTTTTTTATTAAGCCTTAATCACTGAATGGGCGCTGCCTCAAACTGAGACCTGTTAAAGACCTTAGCTTGAAAAGGCCAAGGTCCCCCACTGCATCCTGGCCCATCTCCAGTTGTCCTAATCCATATCTGGCCACTGGACCCAGATGGCTCTGGAGGTGAAAGTGAGGCTGGTGACTTCGCACAGCCCTCCCTCACTTAAATCCAATTCACTTGCATGTCATGACATCACCTCCTTGATGTCATGGTCCTCTTCGAGACGAAGGACAGAGGCAGCAACCTTTTCTAAGTAGGCCTTCCTGGGGTAGCTTGTCATTGCAGAAAACTACAATTCCCAGCACAGCGCACCTCGGTGACGCAACGGTGCTATGTAAAACAGTGTACTAGCCGCCTAGCCAACTTCCCCATTTGACCCAGAATAGGATTCGCAGGAAGGGCGGAGTCGGAGAAGAAATTACAGCCCCGTGATTTTCAGAATTCAAACACTGATGTTCTAATCAGTTTATTTGTGTTAATTTGTCGACTTTAATTCTGGGGCCTCCAAAAAAAAAAAAAAAAGCGGGCCTATCTCCGAATCTCTGGAAGCCCGTTGCCATGGCTCCGAGACGCCTTCCGCCAGCTACGCTTGCCACGTGACCAAGTAGTAATATGGCGGCGCCCAGGGAGTCCCAGTCCACGAGGAGTCCAGAACCGATGGCAGCAGTCGCTGCTTCTGCAGCGGGCCCAGGGACTCGGGCTCCGGCAGCCCTGGCCCTGCGGGTGGTGGCCGAGTGCGGCCGCAGCAAGGCGCGGGCGTGCGAGCTGCGCCTGCCCCACGGCACTGTGGCCACGCCGGTATTTATGCCCGTGGGAACACAAGGGACCATGAAGGGAGTCACGGCGGCGCAGCTGGACAGCTTGGGTTGCCGCATCTGTCTGGGCAACACGTACCACCTGGGCATGAGGCCGGTGAGTGCGCTGCTGGGGGAGATCCCCGGGGGATGGCCTAGAGGCGCGGGCTGGTCGGCAGAAGTGGGGAGGTGCGCCCGGCCCCTGCACGGGGACCTCTCGCCCCATGGAGGAGGCGTGGAAAAGTGTCAGCCAGAGGCAGCGAGGTGGCTGGCGACTTTGGAGAGCGCTGCAGCTCAAGCGAGGAAGGGCCCAGACACTAGTAACTGTAGGTCCCTGGACAAGTCACTTCAATTCTGTATGTCACAGTTTCCTCTTTACCGAAAGGTAAAACGTGGATAACAATAACATCTGCCTCCCAGATGTGAGGTATCAGATAAGAGGAGGATCAGATATTTGTAAAGCATTTTGCAAATCTTAAGGCACTATGTAGGTAATGAATGTTTTGGCAGTGTTGTTCAATCGTGTCTGACTCTTCCCAACCTTGTCTGGGATTTTCTTGGCGGAGATGCTGGAGTAATTTGCTGTTTCCTTCTCTAGTTCATTTGACAGATGAGGAAACTGAGGCAAACGGGGTTAAGTGACTTGCCCAGGGATCTACAGCCCTACAGGGATACACAGCTAATAAGTGTCTGAAGCTGGATTTGAACTCAAAAAGATGAGTTTCCCTGACTCCAGGGCAGGTGCTCATCTGCTTGGCCACCAAATTGTCCAGATTAATCCTAGGCAGCTATGTGGGGCAGTAGTTAGTGCCAGGTCTGGAGTCAGAAAGACCTGAGCTCAAATCTAATCTCTGATGCTTACTAGCTAGCCTTGAATGAGTAATTTAACCCTATTTGCCTCAGTTTCATCATCTGTAAAATGAACTGGAGAAGAAAATGGCAAACCACTCCAGTATCTCTGCTAAGAAAGTCCCAAATGGTTGGGCAGGACTGAACTACAACAAATTCTTATCAATGGAGTTAAAAAGCCAGGGTACATGGGTTTGAATCTGAAGTCTTTGCTACCTTTCTCTGCTTTGAGCTTTAGTTTCCCGGGTGGTAAAACATGAGGGTTGGACTGTATTATTTCTAAGTCCCCTTTCAATCTCTAAACCCAGGTCAGGCTGGCCCAGAGGTGGGGAACCTGTGGCCCGAAGGCCACAAGTAGCCCTCTAGGTCCTCAAGTATAGCCCTTTGACTGAATCCAAACCTCACAGAACAAATCCCCTTAATAAAAGGATTTGTTCTATAAAACTTGGACTCATTCAAAAGGCAGCACCGGAGGACCTAGAAGGCCACATGTGGCCTTAAGGCTGCAGGTTCCCCACCCCTGCCACTAGCCCTTCTGTTGGTACCTTCCCTATAAGAGTATAGGAGCCTCCCTCCTGGTCTCATTTATAGTGACTGAGTGTTTTTCTCCAGGGTCCTGAGCTCATACAGAAGGCAGGTGGGCTGCATGGCTTTATGAACTGGAACCAAAACTTGCTCACGGTGGGTCTGGAACCCTTGATGGTGGGGAGGTGGGACATTAGGAAAAGCAGTGTGTTTTAATAGTGGAAACAGCCCCAAACTTAGAGTGAGGGAAGCCTGGCTGGGCTCCTAGCTCCCTGTTTGAGCCTCTTAAAGGCTCACTTGAGAATATAAAAACAGGAAATATTATCTTTGAATTATCTGCCTCCCTGGGTTGTCTTGGAGAAAGCATTTTATAAACTTTAAAAAACTCTAGAAATACAAACTGCTGTTACTACTGTTATTCCAGGGGCTGAGCACAGTGAGATGGAAAGAGTTCTGGATTGGGGGTTAGATAACCTTCAACAAGTTACAGTCTTTCAGTTGCTCAGTTTCCCCTCCTGTTAAAAAAAAAAAAAAACAAGGGAGGGGGATTGCCTTTGATCATCATCCCCCAGGTTCTAAATCTGTCAACTTATTTTTTCAATGGGAGAATGGCAGATTCTTATTGAGGACCTGAGGTCAATAGGAAGTGTCATCCACAGGACAGTGGTGGCTTCCAAATGGTGTCTCTGCTGGCTCTGTCTGAGGTGACAGAGGAAGGAGTGCGATTCCGTTCCCCATATGATGGTACCGAGATCCTGCTGAGCCCAGAGAAGTCCGTGGAAATTCAGAATGCGCTGGGTGAGCCCTTTCTAATGAAGAGGAGCTGGAGGCTAGAGCTGCTGGCCTTTCTCCCCAGGAAGCTGACATGGGGGGGCGGGGAGAAGAAGGTGGTTTGTAATAGGAAGAATATTAGCCTTCGAAAGTGGATACCCTGGTTCAAATCTCGGTGACATTTTCTAGCTGTATGATTGTGGTCAGGTCACTTCTCCCCCTCTCGGGTTAGCGTCTCTGTAAAGTGGAGAGCACAGTTCTTTCATTATTTACTTAATGGGTCCTTTCTAAGTGAAGTGCTTTGTAAGTCTTCAAGCTAGGCGGCAATGTATAGAGCACCAGGCTTGAAGTCAGCAAGAACTGAGTACAAATCCCAGCAGAGACACTAGCTGTGTGACCCTGGGTAAGTCTCTGTTTGCCTCAGTTGCTTCAACTATATAACAGGCATAATAATAGCACCTACCTTGTTGTGAGGAACAAATGGAATATGTACCTGGCCCATAGTGGGTGCTGTATCAAAGCTTATCCCCATCCCATGTGAATGCGAGTTGTTTAGTTGTAAGACACTCAAAAAATATCTGTTAATCACAGGGCTAAACTCCAGGAACATAAGGCCAAAAAAAAAGGATCTAATCCTTGCCTTCCAGGAGTTTACTGGGAGATATGATATATAACAAAAGATACATGTGATACAAGGTAGGGTGGAAAAATACTGACAAAGTATCCTGGGAAGATTTGAGAAGGAGAAAATCACTTTCTGGGGAGCGCAGAGATGAGAAGGCATCAGAAAGCAGGCTTATCATTTGTTTTTCCCCTTTCTGGTTCTGTGTGGTGGACTGCTTTCTGGACCCCTTTTTTTTAGATCTCCCCATGTTCTAAGAAGAGGGTTGTCCTGATTGCACTTTCTCCCCGACTGTCTCTCCCAAGTAGGGATTCTCTGACCTTCCCTCTCCCTCACCCTCCTCTCCAGGCTCAGACATCATGATGCAGCTGGATGACGTGGTCAGCAGCACTCTGACGGGCTCTCGAGTGGAGGAAGCCATGCACAGGTCAGGAGCGGTTTGTATGCCTTCCTGGACTATAGAAATGTGAATTCTTGTTGTCATCTAAGCTGTGGTTCTTCTCCCCGCCCCCTTCCCATCTGGCTCCTTGACTTCACCACAGCCTTTGACCCTGCAGACCACCCTCTCCTCTCAGGGTTTTCCTGACACTGCTGTCTCCTGATTGTCCTCTTCTCCATCCGTCTGCTCCTTCCCAGTCACTGCTAACCATGGGAATCCTCTGAGGCTCTGTGCTGGGCTCCCTTCTCTTTTTTCTCTACACTCTCTCACTTGGGGGGCTCATCAATTCACATGGGTTCGATGGTTGTTGCTCTGTAGATGATTTCCAGGTTTACATATCCAGTGCTAGTCCCTCTCCTGCGCTCCGGTCCCACGTCATGAACTGCCTGTGAGACCTTTAGATGTCCTGGAAGCATCTCAACCTTCATATGTCCAAAACAGAACTTGGTGTTCTCCCCAAACCTGCTCCTTTTCTGAACATCCTCATGATTGTCAAAGGCAGCACCATCTTTCCATTTCCCTCAGTTTGCAAGCTTGGTTTCCTTCCTTCTTCTCCCTCACCCCGCACATCCAATCCGTTGCTAAACCTTGTTTCAACTCCACCTAGTATGGCTCTTTCTCCCGCCTCAGATGCCTCTCTAGTTAAGGCCTCATCCCCTCTTGCCTGACTATCACACGCTCCTCCTAACTGCTCTTCCTGCCTCAGGTTTCCCACTTCGGCGATTCCATCCTCTAGACATTTTCCAAGGCAGTTTTCCAGAGGGCGGTTCTGACCCTGCGACCCTTCCCTCTCAGCTCCATAAACTCCTCTTTCTGGCATTTAAAGGTCTTTTTCACAAGCTGGCCTCTACTTACCTTTCTGGTATTCTTCCATTTTACTCCTCTCTGTGCATTTTACCAGCCTCAATATACTGGCTTCCTTGCTGTTGTGCCCATGTGATGCTCCATCTCCCCAAACTGATACTTTTGCTTTGGTCGTCCTCCATGCCTGGAATGGTTTACTTTCTCACTCTTGCTTCTTGGAACCCTTGATTTCTTTCAGAACTCAGCTCACTCGAATCTTTCTCCATGACGCCTTTGCCTGGTCCCTCCATTTGCTACCTTGTATTCTTTTTGTATGTATCCTGTATATACTTGCTTCTATACATACTGTCTACCCTATTAGAATGTAAGCCCCTTGAGGGCAGGCTCTATTTTTGCATTTGTCTTTATGGCCTCAGTACTTAGCATAGTGTCTGGTATATAGTAGGCACTTAATAAATGCTTATTAGGGGCAGCTAGGTAGCACAGTGGATAGAATACCAGCCCTGGAATCAGGAGGACCTGAGTTCAAATCCGACCTCAGACAAATAACGATTACTAGCTGTGTGACTCTGGGCAACTCACTTAACCCCAATTGCCTCACAGAAAAAAAAAAAAAAGAACAAATGCTTGTTGATTGATTTCATATAGCTGATAAGTATTTGTTGAATGATCAGCAGCAGAGACATTACTTGTGCCCCTACCTCTACAGAGGGTTCTGGTCATCTGCCTAGGGCCCCTGAAGGCTGAGAAGAGGCTATAATCAGAGTGACCATTGCAGGTCCATCCGCTGGCTAGACCGGTGCATCTCAGCTAATCGGCGACCTGACCAACAAAATCTATTTGCCATCATTCAGGGTGGCCTGGACCCTGTTTTGCGGAGCAAATGCCTTGAAGGTGAGTGCCCCAGTATCCTGGGCAGGGTCGGGAAGCACATGGGATGAAGGCTTCTTTCCCAACCCACAAAGAGCTTGTGTTTCCCAAGGACTTTTGGGGGGAATGGGACAGAGCAGGGGCTCCACCTGCTGTCTTTCAGAGAGGGGCCAGAGGGATGGTGACTTGGCTCTTTCTCTGTTCCCTCTCCTCCCAGAGATGACCAAGAGGGATGTGCCGGGCTTTGCCATTGGGGGACTGAGTGGGGGTGAGAGTAAGGAGCAGTTCTGGAAGATGGTGACACTGAGCACAGACCAGCTGCCTCGAGAGAAGCCACGCTATCTTATGGGTGTGGGGTAAGGGGTATCTGTTGAAGTAGAACCTTGGAGCTTCTGGTCTGGCATGGAGATGTGGCCCCTGTCTTTAGGGGTACCCCTTCCTCCCATCTCCAGAGCAGGAGAATTGGGAGCATACCTGGGGTTTGTGGGAGAGGGAAGGTCCTTGGCCTCTCTTGGACATCTCTCTCTTCTCCCTGCCCTTGGGGGCCCCCCAAAGTGCAGGAGCTGGGAATGGGAGCAGGGAGGGCATATGGGGGGGGTTGGGTGGGGAGGGAAGCAGGGCTGGTGTGTGTGTAGGGAGGGTTGGCTTCTGTTTGATGCCTCTTGTCTCCTTGCTGTCCCCCAACAGCTATGCTACTGATCTGGTGGTCTGTGTTGCCCTGGGCTGTGACATGTTTGACTGTGTCTTCCCCACGCGCACGGCGGTGAGGCCTGGCGGGTGGGCTAAACCCGATCAGAGATGGCTGTGGGAGGGTGGGTGAGGGCCAGGACCAGTTCCCTCTTTTCCCTCCCTCCAGCGCTTTGGGTCTGCCCTTGTCCCCACGGGGAACCTCCAGCTGAAGAAGAAGCAGTTTGCAAAGGATTTCCAGCCCATTGATGAGGCTTGTACATGCCCCACCTGTCAAAGGTATCTTGGACCCAGGGAAGGGGTCAGGGAGCTGAGCCCTCTGGGCAGGTGCTGACGCCCTCTCCTGTCTTTCAGGCACACCCGGGCCTTCCTCCATGCTTTACTGCACAGCAACAACACAGCTGCCTTGCATCATGTCACCACACACAACATCGCCTACCAGGTATGGGGCCCCTTGGGTCCTGACTTCATAGGATGATAGGTTTTCAGCTCCATGTGAGAAGGGATCTCAAGCATCATATGTTCTAAACTCCTCATTTTATAGTTTTGGAAACTGAGGCCCAGAGAGGGACAAGAACTTGCTGAAAGTCACACAACTAGGGGAATCTGGGAGTGTGGATAGGGAGGGGCAGTCATAGGGTCAGAGGATTTAGAGCTGGAAGACAGCTTAGAGGTCCAAACCCTGCCTGGCCTCCCCCCCATTTTACATTTGGGGACACTGAGGCCTAAGAGACTTAATAATAGCTCATAGCTCTTTAGAGCTTTAAGGTTGCCAAGATAGCTTTCCTCCTAACAATACTGTGAGCTCGTGAGGGCAGGGATTGCCGTACCCATTTTACAGATGAGGAAACTGGAGCTCATAGAGGTGAAGCCACTCGACAGTTAAGGTTCAGAGGCAGGATGTGAGCCCAGGTATCTGGATCTCCAGAAAATTAAGCACTTTCTAAAGGGAGTGAGGAAGGGAGGGACCCCAAGAAGTATCTTGAAAGGACAAAGCACTTGGAGGGCACTGAGGAGACTTACATTTGAATCCTGGCCATGTGAACCTGGCCAGACCTCTGAACTATGGTGTTCTCATCAGCCAAGTCAGTCGATGACCTTCACACAGGGCTGTTGGGAGTGATGTGCTCTGGTGGTCTTCAGAGCACCATGGAGTTGACAGCTGTTGTTCACAGATCGTAGATCCTAGGGCCCATTTCTAGTCCAAACCATCCCTCCCCCCCATTTTATAGATGAAGCAGTCAAAGCAAGGTCACACAGGTAGTTAGGCACCAGAAATGGCATTGGCACTCATGTCCCCAGACT